AGTTTAACGTTCTGGTCCACTCAATATGCTATGAATATAGAAGGGCTTATTGCTTGTGGGGACTTGTGCCAATTAGACTGTAAAGAAAATGATAAAAGTGTTAAGACTTTTTTTATATCACTTGAGTAAACTCAGGTGACCTATTGCTATCTGTTTTCGTCCGTTGTCGTGCGACGTGCGTCGTGCGATAACATTTGAACATTTTAGCTTCTTCTTTGAAACTGATCCCCTCCCCTGGGGCCTGAGGGGTGGGACCAAAACAACTAAAATTAATGCAATCTTTAAAAATTTTCTTTACTCCTGGACATCAAGCAGTCAAACTGTTTACACGATTGTACTAAGAATTGAGCCCTCTACTAAAATTGTGAAATTCATGGCCCCATGGTCAGGGGTTCTGGTGCTAGGGTAGGGCTCTGTTGTATATAGAGAAAATGCATTATTTCTTTAAAATTCTTCTCCTCTGCTCCTGGGTATTATGCAAACAAACTAAATGCATAATTATGATGAGGAAGGTTGCCTTTTCAGAAATTTTGACTGTCATGGCCCCTGGGTCAGAGGTTGTAGTTTTAGGGCGGGGATATTTTGATTATATGGTGAAAGTGCATGAATTCTTTGAAAATCTTCTTTTCTTTCTCTCTCCCCCCCCCCTGTAAATAAAGTAGATAAACTAGGTGCATGGTAACGATGATCAAAGTTGCCTCTTTTAAATTGTGACATTTATGGTCCCAGGGTGAGGGGTTCTGTGGGAGGGGGTATCTCTTTTAATTATATATTGAAAGTGCATTATTTCTTTGAAAATCTTCTTCTCTGCTCTTAGGTAATAAGCAAACAAACAATATGCATAGTTATGATGAAGAAAGATGCCTCTTCCAAAGTTGTGAATTTCATGGCCCCTTGATCAGGGGTTCTGGCGGGGCTCTATTGATCATATTGTGAAAATGCATAATTTCTTTAAAAATGCTTTTCTCTCTAACTGTATATAAATAAGATAAATTAGTTGCATGGTTATGATGATCAAGGTTGCCTCTTTCAAAATCCTTAAATTTGTGACCCCATGATGAGGGGTTTTTTTTTAGGAGGGGGGCTCTATTGATTATATATTAAAAGTGCATCATTTCTTTAAAAATCTTCTCTGCACCTACATGTAGTTATGAAGAGCAAGGACGCTTCTTCCAAAATTATGAATATCTGAATATCTTGGCCCCTGGGTCAATGGTTCTGGTGTTCGGTTGGGGTTCTATTGATCATATAATGAAAATACATCAATTCTTTAAAAATCAAAAATCTTCTTCTCTCACCCATTATATAAAGCAGATAAAGAACAAGGTATGGTTTCAATACAAATCTTGCCCTGTGTTTTTGTCAAAAATGAAAGTGATGTAAAAAATTAAAACTCAAGCTTTCCGAATTATTGAAATTCCATGCAGAAAGGTCATACAAATCATTTTTCTCACATGACCTTTTAAATGCTAAATGTGACGTCATAACCTTGTGCATTTCCCTGTATTTTCTTAAAAAGTTGCACAAAAAGACATTAATTTTCAATGGAATTTTCTGTCAGAAAATATTGTCCACAGGCATTGCCCACAAAGATTTTGAGATATGTGATTTTTCAAAGAAATTTACACAACATATCAGAAAATTAAAGTTGGCGACGGCTGTGGACACTATTTTCTTAAGGAAATAACCCTTGAAATTGGCCATTTTGAGGCTTTCTTCTGTTTAAAATGAAGAAATGCATCAAATTAATGACGTCATATTTCCAGAATATTACCTCTTCATGTCATATTCTTTCTTGATTGATCACAGTCATATATACAACTAATATTTAAGCCAGTTTCAAAACTTTTTTGAAAACATTGAATTTTTAGGACACAATAAAGCTTAAACCATACCGTCGTCTTAGGTGCATGGTTATGATGATCAATTGTGCTTCTTACAAGATTGTGAAATTTGTTACCCTACGGTGAGAGGTTCTCCGGGAAAGGGGGGCTCTATTGATAATATAGTGAAAGTGCATAATTTCTGTGAAAGTCTTCATCTGTGCTCCTAGGTATTAAGAAGATAAAACTGTGAAAATTGTGGTCCAAGGGTCAGGGGTTCTGGTGTTACATTGTAGGGTAAGGCTATATTGATTATATAGTGAAAGTGCATTATTTCTTTGAAATCTACTTCTCTGTATCTGGGTATTTATCAGATAAACCAAGTACACAGTTATGATGAGCAAGGGCAACTTTTTCAAAATTGTGATTATCTTGGTCTCTGGCTCAGGGGCTTTGGCATTACGGTGGGGCTATATTGAATCTATAGTGAAAATGGATTATTTCCTTGAAAATCTTCTTTTCTGCTCCTGCGCATCTAGGAGGAAAATAGAGTATAAAAAGTTGAAATAAGCAGGGAAGTTTTTACCAGATTTTGAAATCCTGTACCCTTTGTTCAATTTATTAATTTCATTTGAAAGAAGTTATTCCCCTTTGCTATTCACCTATAATAGTTAATCACTGTAAATAATGTAACTTAAAAAGTCAATTGAATAACAGAATTATACAAGAAATTTTTAAAATAATATTTAAACAAGATTTAAATAATACATAAATGAAAATGGTACAAAAATACCATATCTATGTACAATAAATAATCTTTAAAAACAAGAGAGGCCAATGCGATGGGGAATATCTTAATTGATAATGATTTGTCTAGTCCGCAAGAAGATAGTGAAAAATGGGGGAAGGTACAAGTAAATAAATAGATCAACTTTTAAAATTTGTTATTGAGTTCTAAATTAATATTTTGCTGATCCCTAATTATCCTATATCTATTGCTTTTGGGCAACATAGCTTTATTTATCAGCTTATTCTGTTTTAATCAATGGATTGTTACATTATACTCAGGTGACCGTTAAGGCCCTTGGGCTTCTTGCTTAAAAACTTAAAACGTTTTGCTCTGAATGACTATTGAATTTCCAGCAATTAAATAAGAATAAATGGTTTAACGTAGTGTGATAAAAAATGAATATAAGGTACAAATGAGAGTTTGAAGACGAAATACATAAATAGTTTCAGAAATGCAGAGGAGCTAAGGAGCTTATGTACAGACTAAAGCTTTGTGAATAGAAAAATGGGGGAAGAGTTACACTTACTCTTTCAGACTTAGAAAAAAAAATTAAACACATGCAATGCGACAATTAAAGTCAAGGATAAAAAATAAGTCTACTGTCAGTGACAATCTTACAAAGGACGAAAAAAATATATGGTACCTACTAAATCAGAATGTGCGGAAGCTTGTCAAAAAATGAAAACAACTAAATCCCTCAGTCAAGATGGTTTTAGTGTGAGGTTTTTCTTTCATAATATAATGGACATATTATATTCCTCTCCATTAAAAAGTATTAATGGTTACATACTGCATTTTCACAAAGAAATGCTATGGTATATGCATTCCTAATATATACGAAATTGGAGAGAAAGAAATTTTAAAAAAAATAAACAAATTCCTCTTACGTGTAAAACATTGATTACAAAATATTTGCTTATATTTTGGTCGTTGAATAAAAAATAGTGGCTAGTAGAATAATAAGTCGTAAACAAAGTGCTTTATTGAACGTAGATACACTGAGGAAAAAGCAAGAAAAATATTTTAGATATATATATATATATATATACATATATATTTATCTATATATATATATATATATATATATATATATATATATATATATATATATATATATATATATATATATATATATATATATAGATGTTTATATTAAGAGTTGTATAAATAATGATATTGGTGGTATTTTTATTTTTTCCCCCAATTTGAAAAGGCTTTTTATTCTAATGAAGATAATTTCAGATTCAAAAATTTGATTAAGGTGAAATTTTTATCAGTTTTTCAAAAATATTATGTTACTCTAAACCAATATTTAAGGCTAAAAATAACGACAGTATATTAAAATCATGTGAAATGCAGAGAGGCATTGGATAAGGTTGTCCTGTATCAGAACTTCTATTATTTTTTGTGTTAGAAAAACTAGCAGCTCAGCTTAAAAATAACGACTAAATTATCGATCTATCACCAGGTGATAATAATGGAAACATAAAATTGTACAACATGCAGACGATCGTACAAATTTGTTGAAAGATACTTATTTGTTGAAAAACGCTTAGAAACAACACTTGAATTTACTGATTTTTCAGGCCAGAAACTGAATAGGAACGAAACAGAATGTTTATTGACACCAATTGAGGAATGAAAGACAGCCCAGTGTCTGCCACACCTGTTTCATATTTGGATGTTTTACTCACTATAGACGATAAGAACCATCTTAACACTACATTGTATGACAATTTCTGAGCACGATCAATTTTTAAACTGAGTTATGCTACTGACAGATAAGTTTATGTTACAGGGATTTCAACAACCTCGTTTAAAGTCAGCATTTCGTAATTCTTTGATCTTTGCAATGACTTCGTTAGCAAGTATAATAGGCACACATATTGTTGCCAGCGGCAATATGTACATGCATAATTTAGCCGCCCTTGACAATATGAGCTAATAAACGACAAAATGTGCAGTGAAGGTAGCTTGATATTGCAGCAATATGTACAGAAACGACAAACATGTTTCGTCAAAATCGCACTGCATGAAATAGCATACGAGATATCCGTCTGTGTGCTTTAGACACCAAGTTCATTCACAAAAACTACAAAACAAATTCTCAAGCAACCCTTAATTAAAATGATAATATTTGCAGTAAGGGTACGCACATAATTTCGCCAACGACAATATGTGCATGTATAATTTTTCAGCTGACGACAATATGTGTCGATGGATGACAATATGTGCCGTGAAGATATGTTCATATCGTCCAGACGCCAATATGCACAAACAACAATATTTACTGTCACAACTCACCAATGTAAACTACGATTTTTAACCGACCTAAAGAGGATACTAGTATTATGCTTAGATTTTAAAAATAAAAATATGATACCAACCAAGACAGGTAATATTGACGTCACTCCAAAGTCCATTCCAGAGGCATCTTACAAGTTCATCACCTGTTTGATTATAACCTTCAGCACAATTCAATAAGTGTCGGCTGCCAAAATCAACAGCAATATCAGATTTGAATGGTGTAGTGTTGTTTGGAAGAGAAAGGTTCACTGGGTGACATTCTTAAAAATAATATACAAAAGGACTTGACATGCCTGAAACATATGCATGTAATATAAAGTTTATATCACAAAACACTTTATTTTATGTCTTATCTCTGATTTATGAATACATACGAGCCAATTCGCATTTAAAGGAACCAAATGATCCACTTTTACACTTTTCATTCAGATCACAGTTTGAATGTTGACAAGTTCCAGTAAGTTCCTATGAAAGTTGAAAGTTGGAATTCAGGATAAGTATGTGCCCTAAATGACGTTCAATATGAAACCTATCGTAAAATATATCCAAATACGACACTGGTACATAATTGACGGTGAAATGCATGTACCACAAAATAAGGATTTTTTCCCAAAGTGTCAAATTTGCATAATCTTTAGAGGGGTTAATACCGGATTTTAATACAAGTATATAGCAAACACATACACACACACATACACACACACACACTCACACACCTTCACACACACACACACACCCTCACACACACACACACACACACACACACAATGCAATACAAGTATATTAATTTGCATTTGACAAATCAAACCTGAAATATATACAGTTAACACGTTGATGCGTTCAACACCACGAAATTTTAAACAATTAATTAATTAAGGAATGAATGTCTAATTTTTTGGTTTCATGATGTGATTAAGCAGTCGGCTTGCGTGATAATTTGCATAAACGCCGAAGGCATTTATGCATAAAATTATCACGACCAATTGCTTGATCATCGTCATGAAACAAAAAAATCTGACAGTTATTCTTTATATTTACATGCCCTTGATTCCAATAATTCACACCTAAGCCCGACCTATCTCTCTCTCTCTCTCTTTCTCTCTCTCTCTCTCGCCCAGCACGTGATTTTTTTTACCACGCCTATCGAGTAACCAGAAGATTTATGTAGAAATATTGTATTTTTACTCCTTGTAGATTTATCTATGACAAAGAAATTTTAAAATGGAACTATTTAAATATGATACATTTCAGTCAGTTCATTGTTCCTTCTTCATGAATAATAATCGACAGAAGTCAAAGTCCTCTTTATATAGGTGAAATAAAGTACATTTATCATTCGAAAGTTTGAAGCTAAAAGGTGTCTATTAAACAGTCATTTTCTTTTAATTTGTTTGCCCAAACACTGAACCTAATAACTTACCAAAGGCCATGTTTCCCTTAGGCTAAATATCCACCCATCCTCTGAAGTCATATTAGCATCTGACCTAGAACCGTTTTCATAGTTCAGTTCACAAAATATTGCTGAGCGGCGGTAATTAAAAGACAAGCAGCCCGGGCGAATAAGACATTCTTCTGCACAATCTAATGGACTGATCTGAGCTAACGTGGTTAAAAGTCTTCCCATTAATCGCTTACCCCATTGCAAATTATCGTAACCATTTTTAAGCGATGCAAAAGCCAGGCTAAGGAAAATGACCAAAGTCCAGCAATTGCCTGACCTCAGCATTATAGTCTGATTGAGAGATGATATTCCCATTGACATAAATGGAGAAAAATTTGTATCATATAATCTTTTTTTTTTTTTTTTTTTTTTTTTTGCAATGACAGCTAGGCTTAACCAATCATGGCACAAGACTCCTCCATTTTCTGTACCCTTTTGTTGAAATTCAAAAAAATATTCAAATTGCTATTCACTTTTCCGTGCATGTTGAGACTGTAATGTTAAAGGGAAGATTCAAATAACAGACATAGCATAAAAAGATCAACACTTCCTAGTTAATCCAAAATTTATGAGTAGAAATGCCATGGGCACTTATTATCTTAAATCAATAAACTAAATATTGTTTTTCCTCCCAAATTGTGCTGGCATTTCTCATTGACTGGCTATTGTATAGAGTACACCTTGTTAATGTTGAATAATTTAAAAGTTAAGAATCATCTTTCCTTAATATGATACAGTACATTCAATGCAGCATCTGAATATTCTTTTTTGTAGGCTTATTCTAAAACATGAGCATGATGAGTACATTGTATTTTTCCTTGATCCCCCATGTCGTGCGCTTGCTTCCTTTAATTCTAAACTTCTGTTAGAGCGCCGCAAGCTTCCGTCTGCCTTATGTCTATAACGAGTGTGTGTAGCATAACAAATATCTGATTGCATGTCTCATCTTCACTAGAATTATATTATTTACATATTGAAATACATTATGAAAAGCATGTGTTTAAAAATGATGTTTAGTCACAAAAACATACCTGCCTCACATCCAATTTTCTTTACAAAAAATTATTGAAATTAAAAAAAGAAACTACAGAAAAAAAGAAATGACATAAAGTAGAAAATCATGAGTTGGGGGGGGGGGGGGGGGGGGGCAAACATAGACATACCTTTTGCAATATCAATATCAAAGAGTGACATAACCACCACCACCACCCAATCCTCCTCCCTCCCCCCCCTCCACCCCACCCCGACCCGATTGATGCTGCACCTAGAGTATAATCAGCAAAGTATCATTCCTTAAATAAAATTACTTTATTTAGTTTATTTCTTTCGTTGCATACCATGATTATTTTAAAATCCTATTGATTATGTATTCAATGTACACATAGTAATTTTTTTTTTTAAATTGAGCAAATATATATAAGTAATTTAATAAGATTTCAGTATATTTTTAAAGAGGTTTATTAGAGTTAAAAGAGCCACAAAGGAACAGACCGTGTAGTGTAGGGCGGCGCCGCGAGAATTCCATCGGCATCGAAAGCAAGTTTATTTTTTACTTGCCTAGATAGCCGAGCGGTCTGTCGCGCTGTTCCTGTACTAGGAGACAGATTCCTTAGGTCGAGAGTTCAACTTTGGGTCGGGGCGAAAGTGGGTGTCCTTGTAAAAATTGAATTTCTTTATATATATATATATATTGACTGTTTCCTATTAGAGAAGGAACTGTTTTTACTGGGGGGGGGGGGGTCTCACTTAAATCGGTTTCTGCAGATTGAATACGTACAAAAGTTTAGATTTTAGTTTGTTTTTTAAAATCATATCAAATCCATATTTTCTAAATCTTTGAAGTTTTGTACATTGATTTCATAGAAAATCTCTTCTTCGCAATCTCGGTGTACTTGTACTTAATTATTAAAGACAAGTTTTAACGTTTATTTCAACACAACAAAAAGCAATCTGATTAAAATCAGCCATTGTGATAAGCTACCGCTTACGACCGAAATCAGAATCAGATTGAACAAAAAAGAGCCTTCATGCAATTAGGACGGATATCTAGATAATTGTTGACAGGATGAAAGGGACCTGTATATATCATTTTTATACAATCAATGTACATATTCTGGCCTTTCCTAATTTGGTAGGTTTTGTGAAACACAGAATATACTAACACAATTAAAATCCAATTATAGTTTAGTATCCTAGACTACAGTATACAGTGTACATACTTTACCGATTTGATACTTTACTTGGCTGGCTTGATTTACTTTTACGGTACTTTTAAATTTCACTATGAAACTTTTTATTATTGATTTACTGTTAACTTTTTTCTTTATTTGTTTTAATTTAGAACACCCATATCTCTCAAGTTCTATATCAATGATGTGAATTTTGTAAACAATACTTGAAGTATTCCACATTGTATAAAAAGTGTCTTTTGAGATTTGTTTGTATAGCCCTCTGATTTGTCTGTCCGAATTTTCTCAACCAGAGAGCTACAGTTCTGCAGTTTAAATAATATGAAAAGTACAAAAAACTTAAAAACTGTTGCCGATTGACCGCGATGGAAACCTCTGCACACAATGACGACAGTTCAAGTCAGAGTTATTCATCTTGCCACTTGCATGATGGCCACATAACTAACACTGAAACTTCAACTAATATAGTAAGCAAATATAATTGTCACATTCACCCAGAAAAATAAAAAAAAAAAACCGAATTTGCGAGTTTGGTCTTTGGTTTATTTAATCTTACGTGGGGTTCCTCTTAATCGCGTATGTTCACGTCGTATGTCTTATATTTCAGCCTGATAACTTCCAGCCCAATGCATGGCCGTAGGAACCGGGGGGGGGGAGGGCACGGGGGGCCGTGCTCCCCCCCCTCCCCAATAATTTTCCCGATATATAGACTACTATAGAAAACATAGATACTATATGCCTGTGGTGCCCCCTCAATAAAAACGTCTGATGACTTTTTTCTTTCTTTTTTTTTGCTTGTCAAGAAATTTTTGGTAGTTGATATAGTGCCCTCTCAACTGAAAATGTATGGCTGTGCCCCCCCCCCCCCCAACTGAAATTGCTTCCTACGGGCCTGCAATGTTGACAGAGACTTGCAAACAATCACATTTACCCGCTCGACTGACCCCCATACACTCCATATTTGTCGACAATCGAACATATGTGAGAACAACTTGTCAATAGTGTAAGAAGGTCTTGAAATGTCCCTGCTACTCTCGACAAATTATAAATGGCTTCCTTCTTAAAAGAGTTGAATAATATTTCAATGAGAAAGATAAATGCACTGATGAACTCCATGAAAAGAGAATTGGGGCTGTGCCAGACGTGCGATTGAGGAATCCGAGATACTAATAAGTCAGCTGATATCACTTACGGTTTTACCATCAAATGTGGTTCAATTACTCATAGAATGTCGGTCAAAATCTAATGGAATCTTGGCACTTGTACTCACGTTTTGAATAAAAACCTATCGAAATGTTATAATATATCAATATTGTAGGAAAACGTTCAAATAAATAACATTTTTAAATCACCTCAAATGTGTACATTTTGTTTCTTTTTCCTTTCAGTAAAATTAAAATTTCTTTCACTTTCTTCAATTTTACATTCTTTTTTTTATTTCTTTAACTTTTATATTCATCAGACTTCCTCGGTACATGTATACAGTATAATAGTTTATATATTGTTAAATATGCTGTTATGCTCGTTTCGATGTGAAAGCAAAACTAATCAAGAATAAATCCGAAATCAGAATTTTTCCATTTATTTATAGAGAGACTACCTTGGGAAAAAAGAAGAGTTTGTTTTATTTAACAAGATTTCATTTCACAAAGTACAGATTTTACCTCTGTGCAAAGGTATTTTTTCAATTTGACAGAGCCTGATTGATTAATTATTAGTACACACTTGTAGTCATTATTCACTACTTCTAGATTGATGAAAAATTTAGTGAAAGTTGAATCCATGCTGATGTTAGATGTTTCCCACACAAATTGATCTTCAATCATTTTTGCTCCAAGATAAAATGGGAATACAGATGAGGTGTAACCTGAGACAAAATTTAAAAGAAAATGTACAGAATGTTTTAAATTCCTAACAGATTCAATATTTTATTAATGAAAAAAATATCTGAAGTCCACTGTTTTTGTGAAAAGATCCATTATCACAGCAGTCCGATAACAAATCACTGTACTTAATACCAAGTAAAAGCCTTTTCCTAAGATGGCTTGCAGGTACATGCACGTTCTAAAGATGTTTGGTTACCTTCCTTTAATCTTTCTTATGACCTTATATAATCTCTCTCTCTCTCTCTCTCTCTCTCTCTCTCTCTCGATGGATGGATGGATGGATGGATGGATAAGATTAGATAGATAGATAGATAGATAGATAGATAGATAGATAGATAGATAGATAGATAGATAGATAGATAAATGTCAATATCTTTAATCAGAATAATCTGACATTAATATTGAAACAAAATAGAGAAGTTCAGTGCTATCATAAAAATATTACTGTATATGTTTTTTTTGTGGTGAAATGCTTTTGGATCATGCTATATATTTACTGCTTGCAAGCTACATATACGGGTAGATATAAACGTGAAAATAAATCAATTGTAGAAATGGTCAACATTTTTAAACTAATTTTTTTTAAAATTTTGTATGAGTAATTGAAAACTCAGTGTACCTTGAATGTTAGTTATATTATTCACAATAAGATTGAGTTCCTCCTCCGTTTCAATTTCTAAAAGAGAACCATGTATTCTTCTACATGCTTCCTGCACAAGGGGAAAATATTAACAATCAGTAATCAAAATATATGTATACAAAATCGAATGTTAATAAAACATAATAAATTTCGACAAAAAATATCATAAAAATATAAATTAATTTCTTATAATTTAACTGTAAACAATCTTTTAGTTACCAAAGCTTTCTGTTTTCCATTCTTTGTTTCATGAAGGATCTTATATTTGCAAAGCTGTAATTGATTGATCATAGATGTTGCGTCTACAAAATAATTAATTCTTTTAATTAGTAATTTAATTTACATATTCAAGCAGCGTTTTTTTTTCCTTATATAACTGGTACCGATAAACGGTACCATTCCCAATGCCAAAATACGTTAATTTTTCCCAATTTTGAGACTTAAATTTCCCAATTCAACTGCCAAGCAACATCGGATTTCTGTTTAAATGAAACATTGTACAAG